TCGCCGAAAGGCCTCTGTCCCTAGTTCCTCTCAGCTGCGCAGTTTGTTACCAAGAACCCGGTTAGCACAGGGTTCTTTCATTGCGTTGTAATTGTTGAGTGAGACCTGGTCAGAGGAAGGTCTCCTCGGCTTAGCTTTCCTTTTGCTTCGCTGGTTTGGGCGCGGCTTGCACGCCTGAGCCGGCGAGGCACAACAGGCTCGTTTGAGCACCAGACTCGAACGGGATTCCATTGTGTATCATCCGTCTTTTACTGTCGTGATCGTCTCCCCTTTCCGCCGCCGATTCTGCTTGGGGGCCACATCAAGTTAACCGGACGTGCCCGTCTTTACGCGTTTGATGCATCCGGCTCATTTTTATATTGAAAAGTGCTCATCCCTCATTGCACACTCAGTATTCTTAGTCTCTTCGTCACTCCATCCCTCACGCCATCCCTCCCTTCCTCCCTCCCTCCGTGCGCCAGTTTTCGCCTTCCTCCTTCCAGCCCCCCCTCGGAGGGGAGGTGCTGCTCAGCTCGGCGCTCGAGGCGTGCATCCGCGCTGGACGCAAGGACGTCTTGCAGACGCTGCTGCAGAGGCGACCCACCTTGGCCCCCCCCCGCCGCCGACGGGAGGTCGGGGAGGACCTGGGAGGAGGAGCAGGAGGAAGAGGAGGAGGAGGAGGAGGACGAGGAAAAGGAGGAGGAGGAGGACGAGGAGGAGGAGGCGGAGCAGGAGCAGGAAGAGGAACAGCAGGAGGAGGATGAGGAGGAGGAAAAGAAGGAGGAACGAACGGACGAATGAACGAACGGCAAGCGCTGCGGACCAACATCTGGGCCCAGCTCGGACTGGGTGGGTCTGGCCGTGGCCTCTGGAAACAGTTAGGAGGAGATGAGCAGGAGGAGAAGGAGGAGGAGGAGGAGGAGAAGGCGGAGGAGGAGGAGGAGGAGGAGGAGGAGGAGGAGGAGGAGGAGGAGAGGCAGGAGCAGGAGGAGGAGGAGGAGGAGGAGGAGGTCCGTGGTGTCGGTGGGAGGAGGATGATGATGATGATGAGGAGGAGGAGGAAGAGGAGGAGGAGGAGGATGGAGGCACGGCGCCCAGCAGTTCGACGCTTTACAGCAGGTACTGGCTGGAACCAGAAATCAAAAAGTGCATGCCATCTTGCACTCAACTCTAAAGACGATTCTGGAATTTTGGTCCCAATCTAGTGGTGAAGCTCCTTCTCGACCTGGCCAACATTCCTTCGAATAACGGCCACAGTCCGAGACTCGGAGGGGACTTGGCGCAATCTACGTTGTGACCGCTCCGCCCCGACCGCCCAACGTCTCCCGTGCAGGAGGCACCACGTTTTGTGCCGATCTCGACACGGCCGTGCGCGAAAGGCTCGTGCCTATTCGCACGGAAAAGCTCGAACGCGAAATTCTGGTCCACCGCGATTGTCGGCACAATCGGGCCCGCGACCCCATCTCGCGGCCGCGGAGATTCGAACGCGACCCCGCACATCGCCGAGGACCAGACCCGATGGCAGGAAGAAGTGACGAGAATTCCACCTGCCGGCTGCAGAAAAGGGAACCCCTGCAAGAGAGCAGCTGCGCCAGGCGCAGACCTTGCAGCGGTACCCCTTGCGCGGCCTGGCCCACGCAGGGCCGTGCTGCACCACGCCGCGAGCATGCCAGGGCGCCAGGACGGGAGGCCTCCTCCTTACGGCGGCAGCTCGCCCGTCGTGCCACAGGTCCAACGCCCATCGCCCCAACAACGGCCCAGGGCACAAAGCTTACAACGACCCGAGCTTGCTTTGGCTCGTGGTCGTTTTTTTTCATTGTTTTACCGATCGGCGCGGGCCCTCGCACCCCCAGTCCCCCCCCCCTCGTGGAGTAGATCTTGGCTGTTTTTGGCGCCTGTTTCGAGCAGGCGGAGTCTCCCCCACAGTACGCACTGTTGCAAACAGACGCCATTAAGCAGAGGTCCCGAGCCAGGCCCCTCCCCCACCCGTTCCGCCCAATGTCGAAACGCCGAATACGAAAACGTTGACCTCGGCCGGCAACACATTGCAGAAGCCATGGGAAGCCGCGTGCTGGTGGGCCTTGGACTTCGCGAACCAGTCGGCCCACATGTTTCGAACCCGCCGCCTGAGGGGGATCCCCTGGCCCAGGGCCTCCAAGATTTTGTGGGCGAGGACCAAAGAAAAATTGAGACATGAGGGCCCGCATACTGAAAGCAAGTTGCGTCAGGTTCGAGCATCGATTCGAGAGACGGATCCCACGACGACCCCTCTGCTACCAACGACGACAGGTCCGAGACGACGTGCTCGATGCGGCGAGGGGCGTGCCCCAGCAAGGGAAATACACCCCACCTGTCGGCTCTCCGGACCGTCCGAATGCCCGAGAGAGCGCCGTAGATGGCCCGAACATGGAGGAGATGGTCGGAGGAGGAGGGGAAGGAGGAGGAGGAGGAGGGGAAGGAGGCGGAGGGGGGGAAAGAGGAGGAGGAGGAGGAGGAGGAGGAGGACGACGAGAAGGAGGAA